GGAAGGCCGTAGATTTAGTATACTGTTAATTTGACAAGCGTCTGCCATTAGAAATTAATGGTTAAAGCAAGCAAGCAAGTAGGTAGCAGGTATATTAAAATCCCAGTTAGAATATCTTTCCTAATGAGACATACTAAGATCCCCACTTCACCATTATGAGATAATTCAGTTATTTTAGTTATTTTTGGGAGCAGATTTGCAGCTGGGTTTGAAATACAGATTCACTCTGGGTTGCAGCCAATGTTAGTTCAACTCAGTGTAGGCTCACTGAAATGAATGAGCACAGCTTTGTTGTTGTTGCTTAGTCGTGTCTGACTCTTCGTGACCCCATGGACCAGAGCGCGCCAGGCACTCCTGTCTTCCACTGCCTTCTGCAGTTTGGTCAAATTCATGTTAGTAGCTTCGAGAACACTGTCCAAACCATCTCATCCTCTGTCGTCCCCTTCTCTTTGTGCCCTCAATCTTTCCCAACAACAGGGTCTTTTCCAGGGAGTCTTCTTTTCTCATGAGGTGGCCAAAGTATTGGAACCTCGGCTTCAGGATCTGTCCTTCCAGTGAGCACTCAGGGCTGATTTCCTTAAGAATGGATAGGTTTGATCTTCTTGCAGTCCATGGGACTCTCAAGAGTCTCCTCCAGCACCATAATTCAAAAGCATCAATTCTTCGGCGATCAGCCTTCTTTATGGTCCAGCTCTCACTTCCATACATCACTACTGGGAAAACCATGGCTTTCACTATACAGACCTTTGTTGGCAAGGTGATGTCTCTGCTTTTTAAGCTGCTGTCTAGGTTTGTCATTACTTTTCTCCCAAGAAATGTCTTTTATTTTTGTGACTGCTGTCACCATCTGCAGTGGTTATGGAGCCCAAGAAAGTGAAATCTCTCACTGCCTGCATTTCTTCCCCTTCTATTTGCCAGGAGGTGATGGGACCAGTGGCCATGATCTTAGTTTTTTTGATGTTGAGCTTCAGACCATATTTTGCGCTCTCCTCTTTCCCCCTCATTAAAAAGTTCTTCACAGCTTACTTTGGTCTCTTCATTTAAATGGGTTTCGTCTGAGTAGATTTAGTTGGATAGAACCCCTTGTTGCAAGCCAGCACCTTTGAATTCAGTTCTGGCTTAAGATGGAGAATGCCACTTCTGTTAGCCAGCCCTCTGTGGCAGCTTTTCCCCTTTCCAGGCAAAACAAAGAAACTTGCCTTTCGTCCCACGGCACCGAAAAAGGAAGGGTGTGTTTTGGGTACATAAGCACATCCCTTATGAGAACAGCAGAATGCCTATTGTTGACTCCCCAACTTTTCATCTCTGAGACTGGAAATTTCAATAGATTATTAGCAGGAACCACCAAAGGCTGTGCTCCAGAAATAAAATACAAACTTTAGTAGGCAAGGCAAGGATTGTTATGTGGCTGTTGGAAAACAGGGAGCTTTCTGACTACAGAACACTGTTCAGTGGCAAGGCACATGCTGTGCCCTAGGTTCAAACCATGGGATCCCAAGGTGGGCTGAGAAAGACGCCTGCCTGAAACTCTGGGGTTAGGCTCTTCATATTTCCCTTTGGCCTCCGCTGCCATTTTCGCTGGCATTTCTGAATATTGCGGGGGAGGGGCAGTTTTATGCAAAAAAAATATAGGCGTTATATCTTTATTTACTCCAGTTTTTATATTGCCCTTCCCACAGCAAGCTTAGAGCAACATACATCGTCCACTCCCTCTCCCATAATCCTCCCAACAATCCTGCCAGAAAAGTTAGGCTGACAAATAGTGATTGGCCCAAGGTCACTCAGTGGGCGAGTGGGGATTTGAACCTTGATCTCCCTGATTCTTCCCTGACACTCTGACCCAGTGGTATAGTGGTATACCAGTGGTATTCTTCCCTGACACTCTGACCCATTCTTGCTCACTGCTTGATTGCTGTTCACCCTCCTCTTTGTCCTGCTTGTGACAGCTACATGCATCCAACCTGTTTCCCATTTCCCCTCTTTGGCCCCCAAACTCTGAAGATTGGTATCCACTATTCTTTGTTTTGCTTTGTTCGCTAAACCTACATATTTTGGGGCATAAATAGGAAAGATTTTTCCCCACCTGCTGCGCTTAATTTCGAAACGAGTATTCTCATTACAGGCAAATGATTTGCTCTCTCAGGAAAGGATGCCGAAAAGACACATTCCCTGATATACCCGACCTCATCAAGCATCTCGTTTCTTGCTTCCAGCTGTAAATAGACTCAATGCGCACCTGCCTGCCGTGAACTTTGCACACACATTTCTTCAAGATGTTAAAAGCCTGCTGGTCCGGACTAGGCATGCCTCTCCTCTTGTAAATTAGAATCCACATCCTTTCCCTCCAACACATTTTCCTCCAAGCTGGATAACAACCATAGCAAAAAAGGAAGCTGGTAGATTCCATTGTCAAAAGTAAATATACTTTTCTTTCCCAGTTCCTCTGTCATCCTTGGTTTGGTTGAGTGCAAGGCGGTGTGTGCGTGTGTGCGCAGAGATGACAGATGGCTTCTGCAAACTAATCACAGATAACATTGTGTGTGTTTTTCGTGTAGTACATGCATTTCCAGGCAAATTACGAGCTGCTTTCATTTAATATTCTCCCTGCAAGAAGCCGGATGCTTTAATAGAATATGGCATGCTCCAAGAAAATGCACAGCGGACCCACACAAATGCAAATTGCATTAAGACATGATTAAACCCCGTGCTCTGTAAGAAGCAACATTACAGATAACAGTGGCTTGCTGATTTGGGGATCTGGGTATGCGTGTGCTTTGTGGAGCATTTGAGGTGGTGCAGGCAATGATGAGCTTTCTTCCCGAGGCACAAATTCCAAAAAGAGGTTTAAGAAGTCGGGTCCTGAAACTTGTATATTGGAGCTCATTTGTTCTGCGTATGCCTGGGAGTGGCTTGCTTACTACTGCATTCTGCTTGGCAGGCTAAGCCGGCATTTCCCAAGCTATGTGCCAAGGGAGCAAACTAGCATGCCGCAAGAGGGGATGGCAAGTTCCTTGGGAATCAGCTCAACAGTAGTGTCCACTACTATGTGTCCATGCGTGAGAGAAGGCCCCTCTGATCCAGCCAGTGTGGTGTAGTGGTTAAGAGCGGTAGTCTCGTAACCTGGGGAACTGGGTTCGCGTCTCTGCTCCTCCACATGCAGCTCCTGGGTGACCTTGGGCTAGTCACACCTCTTTGAAGTCTCCCAGCCCCACTCACCTCACAGAGTGTTTGTTGTGGGGGAGGAAGGGAAAGGAGAATGTTAGCTGCTTTGAGACTCCTTAAAGGGAGTGAAAGGCGGGATATCAAATCCAAACTCTTCTTCTTCTTCTTCCTCCTCCTCCTTCTACTGATGTCTGGTTGGAGATACCATCTCCATTGGAAGTTTTTTAACAGAGGCTGGGTGGCCGTCTGTCAAGGGTCCTTTAGCTGTGAATCCTGCATTGCAGGGATTGGAGTGGATGGCCTTTGACACCCCTTCCAACTCTACAATTCCTTGATTCTGTCTTAAGGGAGACAATCCCAAAGTGTGCTTAACTCTCCAGAGAGCAGGTCCCATCCCTTAGCTTTGTCTAACTTGGCAAAGGGGAAGATAATTAGGCAAATTTTGAGAAATGCAGAGCTAAGGCAATTCAAAATAATAATTTATTATTTGTACCCCATCCATCTGACTGGGTTGCCCCAGCCACTCTGAGCAGCTTCCAGCATATATAAAAACATAGTAAAACATTTAAGCCTTAGAAACCTTCCCTATACAGGGCTGCCTTCAGAAGTTTCCTAAATGTTATATAATTACTCATTATATAGGGACGCGGGTGGCGCTGTGGTCTAAACCACTGAGTCTAGAACTTGCTGATAGGAAGGTCAGCGGTTTGAATCCCCACGATGGTGTAAGCTCCCGTTGCTCGGTCCCTGCTCCTGCCAACCTAGCAGTTAAAACACGCCCAAAAAGTGCAAGTAGATAAATGGGTACCTCTCCAGTGGGAAGGTAAACGGTGTTTCTGTGTGCTGCTCTGGTTTCACCAGAAGCAGCTTGTCATGCTGCCCACATGACCCGGAAAAACTGTCTGCGGACAAACATCGGCTCCCTTGGCCAGTAAAGCGAGATGAGCGCCACAACCCCAGAGTCATTTGTGACTGGACTTAACTGTCAGGGGTCCTTTACCTTTACCTTTACTCATTATATACCATCTGATGGGCATTCCACAGGGTGGGTGCCACAAACAAGAAGGCCCTCTGCCTGGTTCCCTGTAGCTTCACTTCTCTCAGTGAGGGAACTGCCAGAAGGCCCTCAGTGCTGGATCCCAGTGTCCAGGCTAAACGATGGGGGTGGAGAAAGATGCTCCTTCAGTACTGCTTGCCACAGAGCAAAAGCCATTCATTACTCTCTTCTGTTTAGACATTGATAGAAATCCTATAGAACTTGCCCCACTGCAGAATTTCTTACCCCATCTCCATTCCCCTTAACTAATGAGTGGCTAACATGGTGTCATCCAGATGTTATTGCACTCCAACTCCCATCAGCTTCAGCCAGCCTGGACAATGGTCAGGGAGAATGAGAATTGTAGTCCAGCAATATCTTGAGGAGTAAGCTACCCTGCCCTAAATCTTCCAGAAGCATGCCTGCTAGCCTCAAGTGCCCAACACACAGGCATGATCAGTAAGGGAAAACTGCAAGCTTATTCCCTATTGCAACTTCAACAGACTGTGAGCTGTGGCTGACCATTATGTACAGTTAGCACCACTGCTGAGCTAATAACCAATAAACAGCATCTTGTCTTCTCAGCCACTCCTCCCATTCCACCAAAAGATAATCAGCTGACCAGCCCATCAGTTAAAGGCAACCCCCTCACAGGCAGGTTCTACTGGATTTTATTTTCTCCTTCATTCATGCTGGGATTATCTTAATGTCTGCTCTCTAAACAGGTCATTAAGAGCTTTTCTGATATAAACTGTAATTCTCTTGGTTTGTTTCTTGTTGTTTTTTGTTTTTTAAAAAACAGGTTCAGCATCAGGCAGCCCTATTCTCTTTGATGTCAAGTGGGGTGGACACAGTCAAGTATGGCAGAGAATGAAGAACTATTGACAAGATGGGTGTGGCGATGCAATGGCAAGAATGTCAGATTTTTAAACGGAAGCAGAAAAAACAGGACGTCTTGAGAAGTTAGGTGAGTAATTCAGAAAGCTGCATTGAAAAATGTAATTATGCGGAAACAGTGTAACATTTCTCTAATGTTGAAAAAACAACAGCAACAACAACACACACCCCATCCTCAAGAGATTAATTTATTATGTGTCTCCTATCTATCTATCATCTATCTATCTATCTATCTATCTATCATCTATTTATTGCTATTCAGGTCTTCTCCTCTATGTATTTCCACATTCACCTCCATATTCCCATTGGCACTGCCCCTCATGCTTCGGAAAGGGCCCTCTTTAAAGGCAAACCTAGTATATGTGTGCAAGCTCCTTCTGTGCTGTAGAATCCTAATCTTGCAGGATTCCAAATTATGGGAGAAGCCTTCATGTGCCAAGACCAAAACATGGATGGTGAGAACAAGGCCTGAGGCCAACAGTTAACAAGAGACGGGTGTGTTAAAGAGGTTGTGTGTTAAATGTGCTTGGACTTATTTGAGACTGGGGGATTTGAACGAAAAGAGAGAGGGGGGGTGGGACCATGTTATGAGAAGGGTTTGCGGTATGAGTGACAGAAAAGAGGACTAAATCAGGTTGTTATACAACACAATCCTAAGCGTCAACATAAGAAAAGCCTACTGGCTTAGGCCAATGGCCCATCCACTCCAGAATTTTATTCTCACAGTGAACAGCCAGATACCGAAAGAAAGCGCACAAGGAGGACTTGAGCACAATGGCACTCTCTCCACTTCTGATTCCCAGCAACTGGCCTTCAGAGGCAGAACAGAGCCATTGTGGCTGGGAGCCATTGATAGCTTCCCATTGGTGGCAATCACTACCTCTTCTGAGGGTAAATTCCATTATTTAGGCACGTGAAGAAGTACTTTCTTTGGTCTGTCCTGAATCTTGAGTAAATAATAATTTAAAAATTATTATTTATACCCCACCCATCTGTCTGGCTTGCCCCAGCCACTCTGAAGAAGAAGAGGAGTTTGGATTTGATATCCTGCTTTATCACTACCCGAAGGAGTCTCAAAGTGGCTTACATTCTCCTTTCCCTTCCTCCCCCACAACAAACACTCTGTGAGGTGAGTGGGGCTGAGAGACTTCAGAGAAGTGTGACTAGCCCAAGGTCACCCAGCAGCTGCATGTGGAGAAGCGAGGAAGCGAACCAAGTTCACCAGATTACGAGACTACCGCTCTTAACCACTACACCACACTGGCTCTCTGGGCAGCTTCCAGCACATATAGAAACATAATAGAACATCAAACATTAAAAACTTCCCAATTTAGGGCTGCCTTCAGATGTCTTCTAAAAGCTGTGTAGTTCTTTATTTCTTTGTAATCCGCTGGGAGGGTGTTCCACAGGGAGGACGTCACTGCTGTGAAGACCCTCTGCCTGGTTCCCTGTAACGTCTCGCAGTGAGGGAACCACCAGAAGGCCCTCAGAGCTGTACCTCAGTATCTGGATAGTATCTGTTGAGAGATGCTCCTTTGGGTATACAAGGCCGAGGCCGTTTAGGACTTTAAAGGTCAGCACCGACACTTTGAATTGTGTTCAGAAACACACTGGGAGCCTGTGTAGATCCTTAAGGCCGGTATTATATGGTCCCGGCAGCCACTCCCAGTCACCAGTCTAGCTGCCACATTCTGAATTAGTTTTAAATGTCACTGACAAAAATGGAAATTATTCTATTGTTGGTGTCCATAGGTTTGCTCACCTAGAGAGGAGGTTGACTGAGGGTTGGTTCAGTTGGAGGAGAGTAGGTTATGGACTGAGCCATCATGGGAAGGAACAGTAGAAAGATCTGCCTGACTTTGTGGACAGAGATGTGGTTCGCCCAGTTCTTTGTCTTCTACTGAGAATTCAGGAGCAGGTTTTATATGCCAGCTATGGCTGTGTTACGAGAGGCAGTACTCCTCAGCTACAAGCTGCATGGAGTTGCAGCTGATCCCATTTGCCATATGGCATGATATTATTTATTATTTCCTCTGGGAATGTGCTAAGGATTAAAAGAGAAGTGAACATTTCAAGGTGAATAGAATGATAATCAGAAGTTAACCTACTGTAGTCCTTGATAACACCAGTGTGATGTCTAATTGAGATACGGCAGAGGGGAGGAGTGAAATACCACAGAGAGCTTGGTGGACGATTTTCAAGGCCCTAGTGCTGAACAGACAATGTAATCCTATTAGGAACATCTGAACAGGAAGAAATCTCCCAACTATTTTATTTAAAAGCCCCTCAGACAAATCAAAAGTAATCAAAGCTGAGAAATCCCAAGCTTTTCAACAATTGCAACGCAACTATGCATCAGATTTTCTAGGGTAATCTCCAAAAAATGTTAATCCAATAATCTCCAAAAGAGATTCTCCATATGCGTAGCTGTAGCAAATATGTCCACAGGCTGAGTGGTATTAACATTAACAAAAATTCATTTACTGAAAGGGATTAAAGAAAAATATTCTTAAATTATTTCAAAATTGGGACAAGTGAGAAGGATTTAGCAAGGAGGAAGAGTGGAAAAACCCACAGATTCTTTTTTTTAAACAAAGTGTCAGGTTAATCCACTGTGAAAATAATGCAAATCTAATTAAAAAATGCAAGTGGCTTTTAATAAATGAAACAGTTGCCTCAAGGATAGCTGCTAGCTAAAGATCCTAGTGTATTTTTGTTTTGGTTTTGACTGTGCATTGTTGTTGTTCAGTCGTTTAGTTGAGCTTCAGACCATTTTTTGCGCTCTCCTCTTTCACCCTCAATAAAAGGTTCTTTAATTCCTCCTCACTTTCTGCCATCAATGTTGTGTCATCTGCATATCCGAGGTTGTTGATATTTCTTCCGGCAATCTTAATTCCAGTTTGGGATTCATCCAGCCCAGCCTTTCGCATGATGAATTCTGCATATAAGTTAAATAAGCAGGGAGACAATGCATTATCTTGGTGTTTAAAAAAGGCAAATAGTTTGTCCACATCCATTCTTGGTTCACTTTCAGACTGTGCCTTTAAACAGTGTGTTCCATCGTCATGCAGCTTCATTCCATCTCATTATCCCACTTGCAGCAGTGACAGAACTTAAGCACTCACTGTGCCACTGTGTCACAGAGCTCAAGGGACAGTGAGCTTCTTTGCCTGCAAATACCCACAGAAAGGAGCATAGCAAGCTGCCGTATACCAAATCAGACCACTGGTCCACCAAATTCAGTATTGTCAACACTGACTTGTAGCAGCTCCTCGGGATTCCAGACAGGGGTCTTTCCCAGTTCTTTCTAGACATTGCAAGAGTTGAACTTGAGGATTTTTGCATGCAAAGCATGTGCTCTGCCCATGAGCCATGGCCTTCCAATGTGTTGTTGTTATTTTATTTGAAACCCCATGGCCTTCCTTCCATCTAAGTACTCCATACCTGGAAGTGAATCTAGGACTCTTATGCATGTAAGCAGAGCTTTCCAAACTTCAGGTTGGTGTCTCACTTTTTGGACATGCATCATTTTGTGACACTGTAATTCAGTTTTACTAGCAAACCAGAGTTTAAACTAGCCCGTTTCCAGCCCCAGGAGGAGCACGGGGAGCATTCGAGTGACACACCTACACACTGCAGCTGGCATACTGTGTGTATCGTGACACACAGTCTGGAAAGCTCTGATGTAAGGCATGTGCCTTAGGGTGGTCATAGTAACATTATACAGAACCAAAGACAGAACTTACCTGGTCAGAGCTATTTCAGTTTTTGCCTGTGTATTCCCCTGGTGTAAAAACAAAAAAACAAAAGGGCAAATGCTTTATCCACATCCACTAATTGATATCAGAATATGTCATGGTATTTTGGCATTGATTTCCAGATGCAGCAAATGCCAACAGTTAAAACGTAAAGGGTCACACACTTTAAATAACAGCTTGAAGTTAATTGGTGTCCAAAACGTGTTTTAGAAGCCAGTGGCATTCAATAGGACAAGCTGGTGTTGCTCACCTGCCTTCTGAACACTGAGCATCACTGCTGGCTCCCGAGAGGCAGAGGAGTGAAACTCAAGATTTAACAAAGAGCCCCCAGCAAAGTAAAGATTCTCCTTGTTTGTTGTCGCTGCTGTGTTTTTCATATGCGCCATGGGTTTTGTAGTCTTAAGGCTGTATTTTACCTATTGCAAAAATCAGCTCAGAGCCTGACTTGTCCTCATTCCATCTGCTGGAGTTAGGCTGAAGGCTTATAAAATATTTGGGAATAAAGCACTGGAACAACTGTATTTGATTTGCTCCGCATCTTCTGCCGCGTTTCCTTCTTGGATGGTGAACTATTTAGTCAAGTTTCTGTGTTTTGCATTAAAATAATCCTGTTGCAATGTAATAAACTGGCAGGCTATGGCAAAAAGAGAAATTGCCCTCACTACCAAATTGAATTCTGTGGGTTTGGACTTTAAATACTGCAGCGCATTTCAAAGGCATCTCACGGCATGAAAGATTTAAGTGTGTTCTTTTAGCAGTGAAGAAAGTTGCTGTGTATTCAGTGGAAAACTTTGGCTATGAACCATCAGATGATGCTCATGCATGGCCAGCTATGAAAAAGGACACCATGTGCCTCGTGTTCTCAAAGCATGTAGCCTATGAGGGACACTTCGTGTGGAGCTCAGCACGGCAGTTTCTTTTACCATACTATTGGTTTACAGTGGTACCTCAGGTTACATACACTTCAGGTTACATACGCTTCAGGTTACAGACTCCACTAACCCAGAAATATTACCTCAGGTTAAGAACTTTGCTTTAGGATGAGAACAGAAATCATGCAGCGGTGGTGCAGCAGCAAGAGGAGGCTCCATTAGCTAAAGTGGTGCTTCAGGTTAAGAACAGACCTCCAGAACGAATTAAGTACTTAACCCGAGGTACCACTGTATTTAGAAAGGCTAAGTTCTCCAGGGGTTATCTTTTATTGCTACAGATTCCAGAGGAGTAACCCTGTTGGCCTTTTGCCACAAAAACAGCAGTGAGTCATGTGTCATCCTAAAAACTAATTTTGCTGTAAGCTTTCATTGGCTAGCGC